AAAATTTTAGGACAAAAAAATATATTTTTATGGTATATTTGAAGTATTTCTACCACTATTACCTTTTATTACACAACCAAAGCTTCTGCACCACCATAGCAACAACTAGTAACAGTAACTATCTAGAGAACTCAGTGGAAAAGAACAATTTCCAAAATGCAGGGATTTGAGAATAGTCTGTTTATTAATATGTACTTATATAAAGTGTTCTAAACTTTTAGTATACATCACAGAGCTGGGAAAAACAAAGGAACAGAAGATAAGTTTGAATAGAAACTAGATCTGATTGATGATTCAGGTTCTTTGTGAAGTTGACATGATTGAAAACATTTACAAATGTCATAATCACATTGTAATGCAAAAAAAAAAAGTATTTTGGTATTTCACACTCAAAATAGTAAACTATATCACGAAAAAGTCAATTTTGTTTTAAATAGGCTCTCATAAATGTAAGATATTAGATATATTTTAGGGAAAAAAAGCCTATGTATTTCAGAGAAATAAAAAACTGCCTGAAAATAGATCAGATTTCACAAGTAGGTATGTAGGAACTGAATAATCTCATACTGGTAGGGAGAGGCATAGCAAACAGAGGTATTTTTCAACATTTGTTACAGAATTCTCTGCATAAAAATATTTGAAATATTCATTGGCTCCCTCATAATACAGAAATGTCATCTACTTTTTCCTTTTAAATTTACCCTAATGTAAAGTTATTTAAGCATGAAGCTAACATTTGAATAAAAGAAAGGTATTTCACATAGACAGTTGGGGGAAAAAAAAAAAGGGCCTTGGTCCTTACCACAATGAGCAGCAGGGAAAAAATATTACAATACAAAAGCCAGGGAGACATAAAGATCAGGGAAACGATAGAAAGAGAGAGAGAAGTAGGAGGAGGTAGAAGAAATAAGTCCCAAGAGAAAGAGACTTTACACAAATCAATATGGAAAATTCCAGCCCAGGTCTCATTACACAGAATGGTTGACTGAGAAATTAAATTCAAGTTTGCAAAGGTGAATAGGGATAAAGAAAGAGAACTGCTCTGTGGTCAGGAGCCCTCCCTTTTCAACTTTTTCCACCATCTTCAGCAGAGATTTTGCTGTAGTAAATTCAGTGTGTACCCAGAATAAACCAGGTAGGAGTAACAAAAGAAATTCAGGTGTAATTTTAAGTGCTGCTACCTCGTTGAAATAAAATGCATAGACAGAGGAATATTACACCTCTATTTCTTCTGTCTTCTTCATATTATTGTATCTGTAATCTATCTGTATGAAATACAATAGAGCTGGATCCAGTTTAACAATGAGAAGGCAAGGGCAGAAGAATGCATTAAAAAAGCATATGTCACACATTGGAAAAAGAGTCAAAACAGACAGAAATAATAGCTATGATTAATATGGGAGAAAATTAAAATCGTGTGAGTTCAATGAAAACAAAAATTATCAAAAGATAAGTAGAATCATGTGTTGAATAAAGGTACTATACAACTTATTTGTCTTAAAAATAGATCTCCTTTTCCATCACTTGTTAGTCTTGGCATAACTGCAGAATTTTGTTCCCATTGCATATTTAGACCTGACAACTTGTACGTTACTTTTTCTTCCTGGAAAGTTCAAGCTAATTATTGATGCAGTGACCCTCTTTACCTGAGCATGGATTGCTCTGGGAATCAAGACTTGGCAGAACAATCTGCACATCATTCCAACAACCTCTGTCATTATTTTTCCTAACCCAGGCAGCCAAAAGTCAAATGTGACCTTGAAGTGTAGACAAATGTTAACTCCTTGGAATTATGACTAAAATCCTTTATCAGAGTAAATTCCTTTATGATTCACTGGTAGTTTAACAAAACAATTCCTCCAGATGTTCCCTTGTTGTAAATATCTTTACATGTTCCCCTTATTTTACAGGTCCAAACCAATACTTCAAGATAAATTTGGTAATATTTTTGATATACTTATAATTCATATTATTGCAGATTATGCATATATTTATGAATTACATTGTTAAAATACAGCACTATTTCATATTAAATTAATTTTTCCTATTGGAGTCAAAGGAAAAACTATTGAACTCAAAGAGAAATGTGTTTGGACATCTTTTCGTACTAGAGAAATATACTGTGCATTTTGTGGAAAGAGAGACCATAGGTTTACTTAACATGTCCCCTTAAAATCCTTGGCAGTAAGGAAGACAGAAGAGCCATCATTAGGCTTTTGTGGCTGTTACGTTGCCATGGAATAAAAGTACATACTATGGCAATAGACATTTACTGTGTGTTCACTTAAGTTCCAGACACTTTGATAATGAAAATAACGTATATAAACCTATATAGTAAGGAGTTATGAGGCTTGTACCTGAATCACAACAATGCTTTGCAGTCATGTTAGTGCTCATGAATAAAATAAGACAGAATACAGGATGTTGGAGGTTAACATTAGGAGTGTTATTCCATCAGTATTATGTTCATTTTCTTTCTCTGCTCTATACAAGTGGGTTCATAATCATTTTCAGAGCATTAGAAGTCAAACTAAGACTTCCCTTGCCCCTGAAAAATGTATGGAATGTATGTTAAGAGAGAGAATATATTTCTTTTCAAAATATTACAATAAATCACATCACAAAGGTCAGAGCTGTGATTGCACAAACAGACATCATTATGTCAAATCTTAATTTTTGGAGTTAGTGATGTAAACTCAGACTAGCATTTTACAGAAAGAGATCCTAGAAAGTATTGTATGTATTTGGTTTTTAATCAGCTAAAGGCAGCTTTCACTGCTTTAACTATCAAAGGACTTCTTTACATCTCCATAGAATACTCATCTTACCTACAATTGGTCTTCCACAAATGCTCTTAGCCCATTTCTTTAACATTCCCAGCATTCCTACATCTCCTATCCTTTCTTATACCATTTTCAAATTATAACCTGAGTATTTCTATATTACTATTCCTTTTGAGCTTTCCACAAAGTTTCAGAAAGCTAGATCTCTCTTTTTTTTCATATTCCCCCATAATTTTCTGCCTCTTGCATGACTAAGTTTTTTCATCTTGATGGCCACTTAGAGCACTGCTTTGTTGGTCTTTGCATGGGTAAAAAGTTTCTTGGGAAGGCTTCTTGGGAAGGAAAATGGAGAAGGAGAGAAAAAAATAAAGTTTATTTTAAAGAAAATCAGTAACAAGGACAAGTATGATCTAAATGCACATGTCCCATGAGGAGAGAGAAAACCAAGACACAACTTTCAGAAGACAGCAAGCTGAGCACCACTAAAGATATGTTCAGAAGAAACCCATTCCTTCCACAGCCATGCATTTTCTAGTGCCCCCATTGTTTAGGGCATTAATAAGGAAAATACGTAAATCTGGAAAAGTGCTAGGACTTGGTGTTGATTTTGTCTGTGTGACTGATATACTACTGCTTGTCAAGACATCACTGAAATTGTGTTATGATTTCATAATGCAGCTGAAATGAAGTTTCCTCAATTTTGTAACTCTGACAACACCACATAGTAGTGCAGCTACTGCTGAATGGAGTCTAAAAACATCGCATATAAGTTTCTTACACTTCTGGAAAGTCTTAGACAATGTTCTGGATTAGTTCTGGCAGGTACAAGTGATTGAAATGGATCACAGTTTGTTAATTGGAAGTAAAATTAAGGACTTTTTTTTTTCCCAATAACATATCAATAGTTCATATCACTTAATAAACAAACAAACAAACAAACCCAAACTATTTCAGCTTTGCCAGCCCAGATAAGTCTCTAATGGCAGATTCAAGGCAAGAGAGAGCACTGCCAAGTAAGGATAAAAGACCAGACTAAGGAATAGCAGCTTTCCTCTCTTGCTGTTCTCTTTATTGTTGTGGTTCCTCCCAGAAGTGTCCCTTACCTTCACTTCTTTTTGCATTTTTAGGGATGGTAAAGTCAACATCACTGCTTTCCCTTTCCACATACCACATTCAGAAAATGAAGGTGGACGCAAAGAAGTTTATCTTCTCTACATTCGGTAACCCAAATTAGAAGGTCTGTCAACTCTGTCAAGTGACTTTATGCATCAATTTCTGTTTGAGGTGAAAACCTACCCAGTTTATACAGAGGCTTTGTAGAATAGCAACCATAACTTCAAAACATCATATAATAATTGGAATTGAATGTATGTGATCAAAAGATAATAACTAAACAATATTATATCCCTATAATTTTGCACAGTTACCTCCTCTTACAATGTACATTCACTCATTTATCTGTTGCATATGTTTCTAAAAGTTGTGGTATCCACTGCCCTACTAATGTGGTAAAGATTGATAATGTACTTAGAACCTGCCAAGGTATTTTAAATAGGCATTTTTGCCATTGCAGTTAGATTCAATTTAAGAAACACAGAAGAACAAAGCCAGTACCACTCTGACAAAGGAGCAATTTTTTCATCTATAATGGACTTTTACTGTTTGATACTATTTCTCTCATTTATTCAATTCTTAAGTTTAGTGCCATAAGCCAGATGGTAGGAATTTTTATACCGTAGGTTGCAAAGCGGCAACAAAGATCAGCCAATGAACTTGTACGATGTAAAGCAAAGGACTTATGAAAATTATAACCTTTGTCTTTCTCCTCACTGTGCCCAAGGTCTGCCACCGGCCTCTGCCCACAACTCAGCGTATGCAGGTCTGAAGTATCCAGTCCTTCCTGCCCAAGGCAGATTTACAGATGGAGTTTAATTTAACTCTGTCTTCCTTTGCACTTCTGGCACGTCCCTTCGTTATCAAATGATCACTTAACTACCTCAGTCTCTGCTCTCCTGTGCCGAATGGGTGTGCTCCAGCAGGCTGGCCTAGCGATCTCTGGCGACTCT